GAGGGGGAAATATAGCAATTTCCTTATCGCATTTTTTTTCTTTTTTAACACGGGGGAAATAGCAAAGGTTTCTATCATTCTATCTTCCTCGCCTCTCCCGCCCCCCCTTGCTTCCTTGTGCGAAGTGTTGCAAGCGTGTTGCAGCGAGGAGTGAAAAGGAGTGATGTCAGCGGCCGCAGCAGCATATGGCCGGCGACGGAGGTGAGCTCCCCTTAGGGTGATGTCCTCCCTCCCCTTCCATTTCCCTCTCCTCCCCCTCCCTCTCCCTTCTACCCCAGTCCCCTCCCTCCCTTATTCCCCCTTTACCCCCGCCCTCTCCCTACCCCCTCTCTCTCCACACCCATCGCCGCCTCGCGCACGCCCAGGATATGTGCAGACGGGCAAAAACAACGCCCTGGAACTCCTTGAATTGCGAAACAGGAAGACGCAAATCAAATGAAAAAATAATAATGACATGTATAACGAACACCGAAAAATAATCAGCCATCTCACCTGTCAAAAAGAAAAAGAAAAAGAAAAAAAAAAAAAAAAAAAAAAAAAAAAAAAACTATTCGCGTTGGCTACTTTTTTACCGCACAAAATTCTACAGGAAATCACGAATAAAACCGAGATAGACAGCTTAACGTGTACTGTTACCCCCCGTCGCGCGCCAAGGGTACCTGGACTCGACTCAACGAGCTTGGGAAGGACCCGAAGCACCCCGAAGGACCCCGAAGGCCCGCAGCACCCGAAGGACCACGTAGGACCCCGAAGAACCCGCAGCAACCCCGAAGGACCCCGCAGCACCCCGAAAACACGAAAACAGTGGGCGTGGGCGTGAAGAACAGGCTGGGGAGAGGGAAGGGGGAAGGTGATCACACACACACACTCGGCAGGTCAGGGTGGCGGGCGAGGTGTGAGGCGCAACTGATCCCTGACATGCAATTACACCCTTTTTCAACAGCGGTCAGTTAGGCGGAGGGGAAGGAGAGGCGAAGGAGGAGACGCGGAAAGAGAATGAGCGAGACGAAAAGATAATGGAGAAAGACGAGGAGAGAAGAGGAAAAGGAAATGGGGCAACAGAGTGAGCACTGCGGAAGAATAGACGGAAGACAAAGCGAGGAGGAGCGGGAAACGAAAGAACAAAAAAATGATAAAAGAAGAAAATACAAGTTTCTTTTAAACTCGAAGCCGTTCAAGATCAAACTACACCAACTATCGCCGTATAATTAATTCCGAAAGAAAATTAACAACGAAGCATTTTTTTCCGACTTCCGCAAAGTGCCAAAATCCCACGCAAAGTTTTGCCAAACAGAGGAACTGCTCAACTGTGCAAATCTCGTTAAAGCATAGCGGGTTAAGAAGCCATGTTGCGTACAACTCCCGCAGTCTGTGTCTCTGTCTACGTGTGTCTGTGTCTGTATTTGTGTGTGTGTATGTGCGTGTGTGTGCCTATCTATCTATCTATCTATCATCTATCTATCTACCTATCTATCTATCTGCCTGATTGTCACAGCATCACGACGCCCATGTGTACATCTCTCTCCTCCTCTCTCTCCTCTTCCTCATCCTCACCAACGCCCATAAATCGTACAAAAAAAGGGAGAGATCGCCCGAAGCCATTCCCAAATGCTGGAGCTTCGACCCAAACCCCGTATTAAAGTCCCAGGCTCAAGGTACACTCAATCTACCTCCCCCCTCTCCCCCTCTTCCCCTCCCCCACCAACCCCCCAATCCACACTAACTCCTAAAACCCTCCATTAGATTCCTCTTTGCCTAACCCTTTTTTTGACGTCTAATTCCCCCGTCTATAAACCAAACAAAAAGTGATATTCAAAAACCAGCAAAGAGTGTAATTATCGTTCATCCTGGCAACAGCCGATCATCATGATTAGATCCCCAAGCCCCGCCCACCTCCTGCTTATCCCCACCCACCTGTGCAAGACGTTCTCACGGGTGCAACGCGGGAAACTTTCTTGGGAAGAGGAAGCGGGAGAAAGGCGGTTATGAAACGGAGAAACGGGAAAAGGGGGCGAGAAAATTGTAGTGAAACCCCACATCACGCGCGCACGCACATGTGCACACACGCACGCAGATGTGCACATGCATACAAAGACAGACACAGAGACACACACAAACACAGAGCCATACGGACACAGACACACACACACACACACACACACACACACACACACACACACACACACACACACACACACACACACACAACCGTCATTCATTAAAGGAAATGTTATCAATAACAGAAACAAAAGACCAAGCAGAAAAAGACCCATAAAGGTCGGCTGTGGGGAAAAAAGGAGGGGGGGAAAAACCTCAAAACCCATCCTTAAAGGACACCCAAGACTCCTGAACGGGGTAGGATCTCGTGGGGACAAAAGAGTGCGTTACAAAGACACGGGGGGGGGGGAGACACAGGAGTCGGTCTCTCTTTCACACGTCTCTGCCTCGGAATGGAAAACCAAAGACACGGAACGCGAGAGATAAAAGAAAAAAAAAAAAAAAAGAAAAATGAAAGAAAAAAGAGGTGGCCAAACCTATGCCTCCTCTACCCCCCTTCCCAAACCTCTAAAGAAAGAGTAAAGGGCAATGCGATTATCACATGCACCCCCTCCCTCCTCAGCATACACAAATACAAACAAACACACAAATAAGCCCATATGAAACAAACCAAACACACATACACATACACACAACAAATAACATATCAAACAAACATACACCGACACACACGCACAAATAAGACCAAATGAAACAAAACAAACACACAAATCAATTGCAAACAGCGAGACACAGACGCAAGGGGGCAGTGTGTGAAAATCGAGAAAGGGTGGGAAACTAGAACCAAAGGAGCAAAGGGCAAGGGTGAGTTGTGGGTGGGAGAGGGTGGAGGAGAGGGCGGAGGGAGAGGGGAGAGGGTGGAGGAAAGGGTAGAGGAGGAGAGGATGGAGGAAAGATGGGGGAGAGGGGGGAGGAAGTGGGGAGAGAGGGTGGAGGGAGGGGGAATGGGTGTGTGTGGGGGGTTTATCCCTTCAAAAAGAGGGGTTGGCAGGTGTTGGGAGGGGGTGGGGGAGAAAGGGGGTCAAGAGGGAGGGCAAAGGTTTCGTGTGGTTTTCCAACATGGGAGGAAAGGAAAGGTAGTCTCAGGCCGTCGGGAAACTAAATGCTTTATGAAGGGTTCGAACAACTGTGTGAAAGAGGGGAGGGGGAGAGGGGGGGAGGGGAGAGGGTGGGGAGAGGGAAGGGGAGGGGAGAGGGGAGGGGGAGAGGGGGGAGGGAGAGGGAGAGGGAGAGAGAGAATCAACAGCGGCAGTCTCTCATTATCCACTGAATCTAATTTGGCAACGGATACAGCACCAAGGAAGAATAAAAAGGGGAGGCAGACAAAGAGCACATAATAATGAGAACGAGAGAAAGAGCGAAGACGGTGGTAATGAGAACAAAAAACGGGAGCAAAATAACGTATACTCCCTAAACTCCCACAGAAAAAAAAATACAAATACAAGCACATATACAAACCAACTAGATGGATAGATAGATATACAGATAAATTGATAGATAGACAGACTGAATGATAGACAGATTGATAGATGATAGATAGATAGATAGATAGATAGATAGAGATAGACAGAAACGAAAACTCAAAATACAAATAAAAAAAAAAAAATCCACCTGCATAATGACCACAGCAAACCGATAAACACCCTCCCTCCCCTCGCATCAAAGCCCAACCACCCATCAGAAGCGTGACGCCCCCCCCCCCTCCCCCTCCTCCCTCCCCCGGCCACCACCTGGATCGCTCCTGGACACTCCGCCTGGAAGCCCCGAAGGACCCGGCGCGTCGGGAAAGAAACAAAGGGACAGCGAAGCCTTCACGCGCGTTGCGGAAGACAATGGGGCGATCATGAAGAACCAGGAGGAAAGGCCTCGATAAAAAGGGAATCGCGCATGTCATGAGGATTTTTTTTTTAATTGTTTTGTTTCTGTTCTGTGTTTCTTACTTTCCTAACGGTGTTTTTTTTTTTTTTTTTTTTGGGGGGGGGGGCACAGAACTATCGAGTACCTTAATCTGGTTCCCGACCGATAGTAAGAACCTTTGGACAAGAGACTTTTAAAATATGAAGCTGTACAGATGTCTGACAGACACACTGACAGACAGCAGACCTACATGACCCCACCCCTTCCCCCTTCCCGACCCCGCCCCTGGCCTTTTGGAAGCCCCGCGGCCGTGTCTGTAGTAACCGCGCCTCCCAGAGCCGCTGCGGCCGCCTCCCCGCAGGAGCCCGGGCGGCGCGCTTCGACGGCTTTTCACGGCGACGGCATCAGTGACGCCTGGCCATTGTGCGGCGCCCGCGAGAGCCGTCTCCCGCAGGCCGCAAGAACGGGACGGAAACACGAAGCCGGAGCCACGAGGCCAATCCTCTCAAAGGCTGCGATTCCCGGAGCGGCGGGCTGGAGAAAAGGCCGCGGCGGTAACGCGACACTCCCTCGGCCCGGCTGCCGGCCCGCCGCTCGTCCGCTGTCCGGGCTGATTAGCGCCGCTGACGTCTTCACTCGCCGCTCCTGACACCGCCGGACGACGCTCTATGGGGCGGCGAGGGGGAAGCCGATGGTGCTCCTCGTAATTAAGGCTGGCGTAGACAAAAGGGCGCGCCACAAAAGAAACGCACTAATTGGCAACGTTAGCCAGGATGCAGGTAGTAGAGTAGCAAAAGGAAGAGCGCGTTCGTGTCCCCGCCTTTGTTCTTGACTCCGGTCTCGTACTCGTCCACTAATTTACCGATTCTGATCGTTCGCATCGTGGAATCGCAGTGACCCATCAAGACATACGAACACCGAATCCCTCCCAATAAACAAATCATCTCAGGGACCAGCGCCGCGCCCCCGCTCGCCGCCCATTCCCGGCTTCGCATTCGGAGGCCGAAACAAAAGACCCGGGCGGCTCGGCCTAATGAAACGTCGCGGCGGCCCACCTGTCCCACCTTCGCCGCCGAGACCCACCAGCCCACCGCCGCCGCCGCCGCCTAGGCCCATCACAACAATGTCCGTAGGCCTGTTCGCCGCCGGCCCCCCTGCAGTCATCGGCGAGGACATCGCTAATTACGCATGATCGCTTGCCGCCTTGATAGGGACATAATCGCTGGTCTGCTCGCCCGGACTCGCTTATTACCCTGACGATGCGCTGCGGTAGTCGAGTCGTGGGTGGCAGCTTCTTTGTTGGCCACATGGAGGAAACTGGGGAGGGGGAGAAGGGGGAAAGCGCTACGAGGAGGGAGGGGGGAGAGAGCTAGGAAGGGTAGGGGGAAGCGCTAGGGGAAGAGGAAAGGAGGAAAGCGCTAGGGGGAGAGGAGGGGGGAAAGAGCCTGGGAAGGGAGGGCATCCTATATAGGACACGATACACTACTTGCTTTCCTTTCCCTCTGAGTGAGGCGTCGTACCATTCAACCTACTTCAACGCACTGGGCCAGAAACCTCAGCCAATTCCACATTTCCCCCAAAAAACCCTAATCCCTTTCCCCATCCATCATTGCGGGGCATTCGATAGGGACCGCCATCAGAGGACCAGAGCGGCGTAATTATCGACACTCGCAGGTGTCATTCTGCGGGCGTTTTGGGTGGCGTGGGGAGGGTGGTAGGAGGGGAAGGAAGGGGAGGACAGGAGAGGAGATAGAAGAGTGGAGAGGAGAGGGGGAAGGAGATAGAAGAGAGGAGTGGAGAGGAGAGAATACAGGGGAAGATAAGGTGAGAGGAAAGGAGACAACAGGTGAGGATAGGAAAGAGGAGAGAGAGAAGAGGACGAAGAAGGAAGAGAAGCAGGGAGAGATCAGAAAGATCAAAGAAAGGAGAGAGAAGAAAAGAAGAGAAAATCAGAAAAAAGGTAAGAGAGAGAGAGAAAACTGATCGCCTGAGTGTCTTTCCCTTGCGTGTGACTCGGGAGTGGAGTGAAGTGGTCCAGCCAGCGCTCATACCCCGGAGGTTACAACACATCCCTCGGGGGAAGTACTCAAAAATACCCAATATTACCCGCCCTTCGCCCAGAGAGAAAGGGTCCCACGACGCGAGAGATTAAGAAAAATAAAGAGGAAATGGACTGCGCCGCGGATACCCCGGGGCCCGTTGCACTTTCTAGAGCCACGTCCAATCGCCGGATAAGCGAGCAGTTGCAGCGCGCGTGTGCTCCCCACTGCAGGATATCGTCCTACGTGTCGAGCTGCAAAAGGGGTCACGGCCAGCCCGAGTCCCACACTCGCACATGCAAGTAGAGGAAGGTTAAGCGTACCCCCCTTTTAGTGTGGGAACCGTTGCAGGTGCTGCGGGGGCCGGAGGCAGCTGGTGCCCGAGGAAATGCCGCTTCTTCAAGACGTTATGGGAAAAGTATCTTCGGCGTCGCACCGGATACGCCCACGACGTCCTCCTCCTCCCCCCCCCTACCCACGCCCGGTGACGACAGCGCGGGCGAACTTTCACCGGTTCCAATTCCCGGAACGAGATGAGGATCCCACCTGGCCCGCCCTTCGTCACAGCCACCGACATTGCAGTGCCGAAGCCCCGACTCTCCCGCCGCAAGACCTACCGACAAGTCCAAGGGCGACCGACGGACGGACGGACGGACGGCCCTCCCGCGCGCCCTCGCCAGCAGGAGACAGACAGACGGCGACGGGGATGAATCACGATCCTCACGCCGCCGCCGGGACGTCATGGCGGCCTCGGCGCTTATCGCGGAGATCGACACCCTGATCCCCGCCGAGATTGCGACGCCTCGAGATCTCCAAGAAGGGAGAGAGGGGAGAGGGAGATACTGTACGGAGGGGAGGGAGGGAGGAGGGGAGGGAAGGGGAGGGGAGGGAGGGGAGGGATGGAATGGGATGGGAAGGGAGCGAAGGAGAGGGAAAGAAGAGAGGAGAGAGAGATCCTTTTTCCTAACAAACGACCATTACTAGAAGTAACAACACATCCTCTCTCATCACTTCGGAAAAATGAAATAAAATCCTTCCCTGAAGAAAGGAATCCCCCCCCCTCGTCACCACCACAGAAAAAATGGCGATCTCCAGACCTGGAAATTCGGAATATCTAGCGACACGCGCCGACCCACTGAAGCCTTGCTTATACTCAATTCTCCGCGTCAATTCACGCTACCCACTTCGAGGATAGGGGAAGGGGTAACGATTTACGGTAACATTCAACTCTCACTGAGACTGGAGGAATCAACAGAACACTAATAAACACATTGTAGCAGTTGTTTTTTATCTTTCTTTAAATCATTTCTTCTAGTTTACAAGCATTACTTGTACTAATACCATTTCTCACAACCATTACAACTAATACTATAACTATAACTACTACTACTATGATCACTACTATTATTACCATTACTATCATCATTACTACAACTACACCACCACTCTCCCCAAGGTCTGCGAGCGTCAAGGCGGCCCCAAGAGTCGACGAGAGCAGGTTAGCCCCGCGGAGTAATTGTCCATTTCCTGAAGCCACAGTTGTCGACCCCTCTCTCTCAGCCCCCCTCCCCCTCCTCTTCCCCTCCCCCCCTCTCCCCGCCTTCCCTTCCCCATATCCTCCGATATTACAAACCTTCACGCCCAAACCCGCACCCAAGTCATCCCTGCCATGGACTTACGTGGACCGCAGGATTAAGTCGACGTCGGTCATCAAATACGGTATGGCTTCCGTTCACGGCGAAAAACCTACTAGTAGTTTATAGATCCACTTAGTGTCACGTAAAATAAAACTCAAATACACCTAACAACTGTACAGGTAGTTCTCAAAATCTATTATACATTTATTAACTCATCATCTCTGCAACAAAGTGCACGATTTTCAAGCTTCGTCGAGTGTTCATCACACCGTACAACTCTATCCGAGCCTTGATCGTTCTTACACCGACGAGTAGTACTTGTACAACCGCCTGCCTCCCCTCCCCCCCCCCCTCCCGCTGGCGTCGTACCCATGCGACTTCCTGCCCGGCACCTGTATCACCCCCCCCCCACCAATCCCCTCCAGTAATAGCTATTGGAACAAGTACACACTCTCGCCTCAAAGTGTTTCCTTGAGAACGGGCGTATTTGCGAGGGTGTGCGCGCGCGCGAGCATAAGCGTGATCGTATGCCTTTACGTACGTGTACGCGTGGGCATGCATGTGCAGATGCCCGTTTCTTCTTCTCCTCGCTTTCCTATCCGTACATCTGGGAAAAATCCGAAAGTACCGGAGCATGAATCCACTCCTCACGCGGGCGCGAATGACGTACGCACGTCCGCACGCACACCCACGCGGAGAGGCGCCCACGTCGCATCGCTCTTGCTGGGAAACTTCTTTGTTTTTCCGATTTGCGCGGCGTCCGTCTGTCCGTCACGGTGCGCGGCGTCGCTCGTCTCGAGGGGAAGGCAAAAAGAGGAGGAAGGGTGAAGAACCTCGGATCATACACCGTTTTTTTTTTTCTCTCTTATTTCTCTTCCTGTCCGGATTACAGCCAAAAATAAACAAGCGTGGAGGTGAAAGTAATGTCGACCGACGCACAGACAGACGGATGGAACAGACGGTGATCGATAAATCCCCCAACCTGGCACATCCTGTCAGTCTCCTCCACCTCCGGCCCGTCGCGCAGTGCTCCGTGGCGAGGCTCTGGTAGGTATGAAATGAATCAAGGAAAAGGAGATGAGACAGTGGAAAGGGAAGAGAAGATACGAGGATTGAGAGGGAGAGGAAGGAGAGGAGGGAGGGGGAAGGAAGAGTGGAGGAGGGGAGATGGAGAGGGAGTAAAAGTGAAGACGAAGGAGAGGAAAGGGGGAGAAGCGTATGGGAGAGGATGAGAGAGAGGGAGTGCAGGAGAAGCGAGAGAGGAGAGGGGATAGAGTGAACGAAGAGGGAGAGGGGAGAGGGGAGGGAGAGGCGGAAAAGGGGGAGAGGGAGCAT